ATCATTTCCTTCTTCCGACAGTTTTATTTCCCTTGGAGGGTTTAAACCTGACGTCATGGCCATGGTCATCTCAGGTTAAACGAGTTTCGTTTTCGTCATTTTGACACAACAACAGAACAGCTTCTATACACTCGGCGCGCAACCCCGTGTTGTCACTCAGCAGCGATCACAGTTGTCAACTGCAACCACAATTGGGGCCGATTTAACACATGTAGGATGACAACAGTTTTTTCAATAGTTCAGAGATGTCTCTACACATTTCTACCGGTTGTAACGTTTAGCCTGTGTTATTCTGAACGAGTCTCTGCCGCTGCCACCATGTTTCAAGTCCACATCACCAACTCAACACATTAATTCAGGGAGCCATCTTTTATTCACCCCTACGGCTACATTACATACAGTACACTAAAGTACAACACAATCATATTGTTACGGTTTATGTTATGTGGTCGAGTAAATATTGTAACATTATTACCATTTTATAGTTTTCTATTTATGCTTAATATGCATGATATGCAGAGGTGTATTCTAATTCATTCACCTAAAATTTAAAATTACATTGCACTCGTGACTCAGATATTGCAGGGGTTTTTGCTTCCTTCTGACTTGGAATACAGGTGATCAGAAAAATTGCAGACTCACGTGGGAATTTGTTGTTGATCACTTAACAAATAAACAATGTATATAAATATCTGACAAGGCAGAGTTCGCATGTTTATATATTTGTTCAACGTTCGTGATATTGCCATTTGTGCTGATGCAATTGTTGTGGAATATAGTACTTAGAGAACACACTGACTTGTGATCCTTGACACCTTCATAATCCTGTTAAAAATCACCTTATTTTTACTGCAGTAAACGATGTTGACAATCCCAATGTATGCATGTAAATAATGAATTTAGAGTATCATCATACATGTGAGTGTATTGGTGTATTCTTGTATCATGTTAGTGCAGTTCTATACCAGTTGTCTTTAGGGTGATTGTGTAGAAAAATAGCAATAAATGTAAATAAACCAATAATAATTTTCAGCAATGGTAAACAATGTCCAAGTACTATAATTATGTAACTTGTCATGAGACAGGTGCAAGGATATTCGTTTCTAGGCAGATGTTGAATGGCAGTGAACCACAATGTAATCAATAAATGTATGAGTAGTTTTTGGATTATTTCCAACATCTTTGTCTTAGCATACCATGATGAACATAACTATGCTCTGTATAGAAATTCTGGAAAAAATGCCCATGATATGGTCGGCATCATGGTACCTCGTCGGTTCATTCGTAAACAAAACAGAGTAGAAGAAAAAACTCCAAAAGGCTGTTACCAGAAAGATGATAAGTAGATATTACAGTTGCAAGTCAAAAATGACATGAACAATTATAGAACTGTAGATCATTTAGAGTTTCCTACGGAAAGATACGTTGCCAAAGTGAAGAAACAATAGGCATATGCGTATAACACACGCTAATAAAACAAAGCAAGTGATGGAGCAGTCACTAATATATGCAATATAGATGAATTAAAGTAAAATGCAAAGGAAGATATAATGATCTGTCGTAACAATGCCACAACTAAAAAACACTCCACTTAAAGGTACAAACCTTTTCCTACATTTTCTTAAATTTTTACCTCACCTTGACATCGCCAAGCTGAGCTATTGCCATG